ATGTAAGTACAGTACTTCAGCAAACCCTAACCCCACTGTAGGACACACACTTGCGCTTAATCGCTACTGAAGGGCTGTATGCTTATTAAAGGATCTGAATTTTTCTCTTATCTTGGCTTGGGTCCCAGTTGAATACGTTATGAAAAATCTTTCCTTTACTTTCAAACCTGTTATTCGGGTCTTCTCCTAAATGATGCGTTTCCATGTCTTGCGGATGAGTTGGTTCCTGGCGCCATTAGAAACACATTTTCATGAATTTCAAGTTCCACGGGAATTATGTATCCCCACCCTCATGTTTATTGAAAATTATTGGGTTGTTAAGAAAGTCTTTGGAGTTTTTCTTGTTTTTGTTCATTCTCTCTTCATTCATAATAAAAACAAGGTCAATCCACAATATAAGCACCATCGTTGCCCACAACCTTCCTCCACCTTTCGGGCAGGGAGTGGATGCCCTCCCTGTAGAACGCCGGGGGCTTGGCCTCGAAGAAGTGCTTGAGGTCAGTTTCGAGCGCCTTCTGGGTATACTTCCGTCTGGCACAGATGACGATGCGCCTGAGTAGCGGAGACGCCCAGGTCGAAGTCGAAGAGCAGGCAGTGTCGGATGTGCACGCGCTTTTCTTCCATTTTCTCTGTCCAGAGCTCACCGAAGATGGAGTGAAAACTATGCGAAGGTGCATTAGTGAGCCCTTTATATACATGCTCAATTTCGAAACTTTTCTAAAATGCCGAAGGGCATGGTCAAAATACGAAAGAAACTCCAAAGACTTTCTTAACAACCCAATATTTTGTGATTTTCTGAATCTTTCCGCGAGAAACCGCCGGTAATAACTCAATCACATGATGACTTCGGTCAGATCGCCGCGGAAGGTGTGACGCACTGACACTTCGCACTGTCTGGGTGTTATCTGCCCTCATGGAATTGGGACACAATTCATTAACACTTCATAATTATAAGAGAGTGTCACCATATTTATCTGCGAGTCAACCTTCTATTTTAGCAGGAATCATATCTCCCTTTCTGGCATGAACCACGATAACGCGCTGTCCCTCTGAGACACTGATACAGGTAGGTGCCATACATGATTACTGTATCTCTGTGAACAACTTCCGTCAATTTTTTGTATGAATCGACATCCATTGCTGCAATACGTAGGAGGAAAGTCCAGATTTTTCTTGAACCACACACACGTGAAACATGTTCCACATCGACTTCGCTTCCATAGAATGATTCCACATTCATCACGAAAGCCCAAGCCTTGAAAACGCGAGGAAAACAACAAAGGTACCACCACGCACGTTGTCACTCTTAAACTAGTTCCTCGTGACCTTCGTAAATGCTGCCATCATACGATCTAACTCGAAAATACATTCGAAATTATTTTATAATGCGCTATTTAGTGAAAACGAACCATCAAGTATTTATGGGGGAAAATCAAATAGTGAAGAGTATATCATTTTCCTTTGTTTACAATATCACAACATACTATTAAAGTAATTTTGTAGATTTTGCAACGAAATTCGGAACGCGTAAGGGCCTTTCGTAATGTGTGGGGAAAGTGAACGTGCTGGAGCTTCTCGTCACAGAAAATAGGTAGCATCCACATTGTAACGCGTTACTGCCCAACCTGGGGTTCAAATCATTCAAGAGGAGAGTAAAGTCCACATATAAATAGTTCAAGTCCTGTAGGAATGTACATTTCTCATGGGTTACCTAATGTAAACATTGTAGGACTATTTATAGCACTGGTACTCAAAAACATTTCAGTTGTGATCCACATATGGAATTCACCTTCCCATAGGACGTAGAGGAATGCCCGAGCCCTGTAGGATCCAACGAGTTCCCTATATACAGTAAGCCAATTGGTCTCATAGAGAACGTAGTGGGTTCCTATACTTTCCGATGGGAATCCTGAAAAACGCCCTATAGGAAATTGTGTCCGGTAAGATACGACAAGAACTTTCTAGAAACTTATAAGTTCATTAGCACATTCATCCCTAATAGAATACCTGCACACTCCATGAGGATTACTGAACTATTTTGCAACGAGTATCAATGCTTTGCTGCTTCATTCCTGTCTCGGCGAGGGTCTTCACAAGGAAGGATGTAGCGTCATACATTTCGGACGGGGCACAAAATAATTCATGCTAGGCACAAAATCTACTTAAATCGCGTTGTACTGTTGTCCAGAGTTTTCGAGAAAATGTCAAGGGAGGCACTAGGAAGTGACTCATGACGTTCTTAACTTTATTACTTTATCAGGTAATCCATAGAATGAGTTTTACAGCCTATGCTGCCGATAACTTTTTAAATCATCATAAAACATTACAGATAACTTTTCTCCTGCTAGAGACATTCTTTTAATGGACATTTTCCCATTGTAATACGAAGAAAATTTGTATAGTTTCCAGGAACCCAAAAATTACCTGTCTACCTAATCTGTGATGCTACATCTGTGGTAATCATTTGCCCATTTGTGAAAATTTTTCTGAGATGCGGGGGGCACTTCAATTGTTTTCGCTTGAAGAAGTAGTTCTCACAGCTATGTTATAAAATGTCCTGGAATGAAGAGAAATATGCATGGAGGATCCTTTGAATGAGACGATCTCTACCGTCCTCCTACCCTCATCCACTAAACAATCTAGGCCTATTTGGGTGTCTTTCATCGTAATCATGCTAGTTTGCCAGAATCTGTTATCTGTTTTTGCGCTAATCATCAAATCCATTCGTTTTCGGTTCATTATACAATTGCTAGGATTTTTCGCGATAGTTATTAAAAGATCACTGAAAAATGTCGTCCCTAAAATTACGGCAAAATATTGTATACTTAAGCATAGAGGTAACCAACGACAGCACCAATGGAAATGACACGTTATCGCCAAAATCGCCATTATTGTTCCAGGTGAGGAACGGTCGTTCATTTCCAGCTAATTTGAATGGACGCAGCATGAGAACTCTTCACTGGACTTCAGCTATTGCAAGCTAAATCGATGAGAGGGAGATATATAGGTGTGCTGCCATCGAGCACTGCAAAACGAATTTTCCCCCAATTCCTATGTTTACTGAATTTTGCTTCACCCTGCATTAGAATACGCTAAGGTGTTTCGAGGTTCGTGTAGCTGATAGCATGAAGCATTTGCCCCTCTAGGACATAAGCTAGGTAGCGGATATACCTACAAGATCTTGTCCTACCACTAGGGGAGCGGCGAACCTCAGAAAAGGGCGATACTTATGAAATTTTAATTCACCCCACGTTCAGAAATGAGCGACATGCATCAACTTGAACCTTACGACAAACTGATCAAGTTCTGGCGTGTCGTCCTCAATTACAAGTGTGCGGAAGCAAGACGGCGGCCGAAGTAAGAAATGGCTGCTCCCCTCTGAACATTGAAGAAGTAATCAACCCTTGTCGCATGGTAGTGTATCGATACAGAGGTGTCGATACAGAGGCATTAAATTTGGAGATGCCCGCAAATTCTGTCTCCAAAGACTCTTATCTTGAGAGACTAACTCCGTAGTCACACAAAAGTGTGTTTGGTGCCTAAAAGAGGGTATATTGTGGTGGTATAACATTTGGTCGTCACACTTTTGACACCATTGGCAACACGTTTATTTGGTCACCGACAATGTCCACCAGAGGGCACTACATTTGCGCAATATGACCACCGTGTATGTCCATTATGACTTGCAGGTGTGGGATGACATGATAGAAAACTGAACGTTGCTGTCCGGTGTTCAACATGGGTGATATCATGTTGGATGGTATCTTTCAAGTCTGTTAAAGTGGCAGGTGCTGTACGATACACAATTAACTTGAGGCATCCTCGCAACCAGAAATGAAGTGGAGTTAGATCAGGAGATCGTGGTGGCCACGCATGAGGAAAATGTCTGCTAATGATGCGATCGCCAAAAGGACACTTCGGCAGTATTTTCAGAGCCCATGCAATGACCACCAAATGTTGTATGTATGAAGTACTTTCAATGTAAAAATTAAACTCCTTGACACAATATACCCTCCTTCAGGCACCAAACACACTTTTGTGTGACTACAGAGTTTGTCTCTCATGGCACTTTGGCGACAAAAGTTGTGACCATTTCCAAGTTTACTAGAGTAAAGTAATTTGGCACGTTTAAGCAAAGTTTAACTTGCAAAACTTTGTTCCTTCACCTAAAATGTCCCTATATTGCCACCAGATACACCGTCATGGCGACGATGGGTTGATTACATTTTCCATGTTCAGACGGGAGCAGCTATTTCTAAATTCAACCACCATCTTGCCTCCGCACAATCGGAATGGAGGACGACAGGCTGAAATCTCTTCAGTAGGTCATTAGCATCAGGTTGATGCGTGTCGCACACATCTGAACATGGAGTGAATTACAATTCGAAATTTTTTATTCATGCCGCTCTCCTACAGGTCATAGGCTAAGGCAGGATGGAATATTCCTTTAATTGCGAATTTTTGAGACCCCTCACCACCTCTCTGTGAAGTTTTTTTTCGCGTTCAGCAACACTTACGGTGAGGGTAAATACAGGCTCTCAAAACTTCGGACTCACAGGCGGATGTCACTATTTCATACTTTTCATTTCAGTGATAGCACAACGTAGCGCACATCCTAATGTCTCATGCAAGGTAGCATTCCCACTGCAATTACTCCAAGAATGTCAATTTGCAGAGGAATGATAGCTCCGCTTGCGATCTCACGCCCTGAAATCGTAACCGAATGCATCCTTCAGGAATCTAACGTATGTTCTGTGATACGTGCTCTCACACATCTCCTATCGTCTTTGGTGTTGCAGGTGAAATAATTTGTTCGAGATTTCTGTGATACGGACGGTACCTGCCAGAAGCTTGTGCGGAATAAGAAACTCGTACAATCGCAACGACTCACAACTCAGTCTCCCTGCGCAACTTCCCAGTGACCAGACATTTGAGAGAGCCATGTGAGATCCATTCCTGTGTAATTGTGAATTGACTAGCAATTTCTCTCTCTTGAGGTAATGGAGTGTGAGGCTGTGACTATTTTATTTTCTCTACTTTTATTTCTCAACTCTCAAATTTCAAGTGTGCGAATTCCGAATCTCCATTGTCTGCTTGGTTTATTTCATGTTGAAACTGCGCTATGGCTCAGAGGCCGCTGAGACTGAACAGCATTCTCAAAAGATAATTCATCGATACGAGTACTTTCATCGATAAGCCACGGGAGAAAAACGTCATTAAAGTCCTGTGGCATATTCGAATTCAGCTGATATTTGTCAGATGCATATGTGCGAAAGAGATTTTCTTTCTCATTCCTGAAAAATGACAGCAAGTGGGTAGCTGGCGCTGCGGTCGACATCAGCGACCTCTATCGGGATACCGTGCCATCTTGTGCCGTGAAAAAAAACCTCTTTGATTTATCAACCTCTCTGCCAAGTATCAGCTGAATCTGACTGTCCCTTAAAATGTTGTAGCTAATCAAAATGTGGTGTTGACTTTATGATAACTCTGTAAATCTTCGGGAATATCTCCCCCCAAATTGGGTGCCTAGGGCATGTTTCTCCAAAGTCTGATGTTTTTTTGAACTCTGCATCCCAAAAGCTACTTGTGTACCAAGTTTCAGGTTTATAACTTCCGTAGAACGTGGTTAGAATTAGCATCTGTCTCTCAATCACTCACACAGTCATGGTCTTTAATATATATTAGATGCAACAGCCGTCTTTTTGTACTGCACGATTTTTTAATGCGATACTAACTATTCATTGATTTAAGTTTCATAAACTCTGGACGCTGAGAAATGGACGTTGGGCACGCCACTACGACTTCTCCATTTCCATCAATTCATATGATAATATTTTCTTACTTCAGAGCTGTCATGGGGTGGCTACACGACGTGCGAAGCGCTATACTTGATGATAAAGAGAGAACTTTGGAAGTGGATAAATTTATCCGCCAACTAATCGATTTTGGACTCATGACACACACAGAAGAGATGGACAACGGGGAAAAGAGCGGAACCAAAGCCAAAATCTATCATATCTTCTCTATTCTCTTCACAAAGGACCCAGAAGACACCGAATCGAAATTGCGCAAAGTTCTCAAGGCGACAAATGGCGAAAGCTATATCAACGAGGCGGATCGAAAGAGGGGTATGTTCCATTTCATAAAGCACCCGAACAGCATGTTTATATTATTTTACGTAAACTGAATGTCAATTGTATGTCCATTTTATATTTATTTTACGCAAACCATCATGAATATAATGTCAACATGTTTGCAGAAATGTCACCTCTGTAATACGTAAATGGTGATATAAAATTAATATAAATTCATGTAAAATTGTCATTCCCGTTTACATCTCCAACAGCATGTTTACATTCATTTCACAAAAAATCGATGTTAATTTTCCCCTAACATTCATGCGTATTTAAAGTCAATTCATGCTTTTGATGGGAAGTGATACATTGTATTTCTCCACTTCCTTTCCATACTTTGGAACTCAATGTTACAGTACGTGGACGAGTACACAAGTACTCATCCTCATCAACACTCAAGAGTACCAAGATGAGTCACTAGTTCCAACTCCGTACCAGGACCTCAGGAGGAGGAATAGATGTTTAGAGAAGCTCTCTTCCATTAAGGATAGAGAAGATTTAGTAATTGTGAAACTGGGATTCTATTAATACGCTTCCCTAATCCCGTGCACTGCTGTATAATAAGCTTAGCTTCAGTATTTAATGATTCCCTGAGTCATATATTATTAAAAATATGTAATAATTTCCGGCTTTTCATTTATATATTCATGGATTGCATAATATAAAGTGGAAGGGTGGTAAGAAAACCTGATACTATATCAGGAAAGCCAATACTTAATAGCATTTGTAGGGTGCAGGGAACAAGGGCTCCATCTAGTGAGGAATCTTGGTATTGCAACTTTGGGATGGTCAGCTAAAGTTTCATATGGAAAGTGTGTTATTAACTTTGCATAAACTTCATATCATGTACCTCACGTCAGACGGAGTGACGTCTAGTTTATGCAAAATACACGTTCACTTTAGTGACGTAAATATAGGAACGTAAATTTTACCTAAACGTGATGCCATTCTCATGGCAATCGCAAGAAATTTTCATTGTTTGCAAAAAATTGATATCTTGTTTATGTAAACATGCTGCTTGGGCACATTTGATACACGTGGGAAATAAATTTGCAAATACTGTGTTAACAAAATGTCTAGAATAATTTTAAAGCATAAATTCATTTCAACGATTCCAGAATTAATCACTATGATCTTAACTTCAGGTAACCGAAAACGGACAAATGAAGGAAATGACAATTTGGTGCGACTGAATTCATTGGAGTTCTGTGGAAAATTCGAGCTTTTGAAAGCCTCCTTACAGGGGATACTTTTTCGAACAAGTTTTGAAGATTTATTTGTCGTTCTAGCAAAATGAAAGTCCTTCTTCCCTTTAAACGGTAATGGTGGCAGCATCAGTTTTGCCCTGCTTCGGTCCATCGATAACCTGAATATTAAGCGAATACTCGAAGCTAAGTCGCGAGCAGGCATTCTACAAATGCCATGCATGGATACCACCTCCGTAAGTAGTAATCTGACTTCCTTGTATATCACCCCCTTGGACCGTTCATAGTCAAACAATAGGTAAGCTCATTAGGCGATTGACTTTGACAGGGAGGCAACGACATGCTCTACGTATGTGTACGTATCTTGTACCTAAGTATTCCAAGGAAAACTGAACTCCAGAAACTTCTAACATCTCCGTTATACATGGTGGCCCAAAAAAAGTGCACCTATTTTCAAATGGCATTTTCTCAAAAATTATTTATGCTAGCGACTTGAAAGAAAAAGCAAACGAAAGTTCAATTAATTTCCTATCGGATGATATATGATTTTATGACGATACCTCTCATACCATGGCTGCCATGCCCATTAAAAAAAAAAACATACCACCAAAAAAAGTTGTGCGTCGAGAAAAATTAGAAATTTCACCGTGTCTTCGCATTGCAAGAGTTCAAAAACATGAAGACTTACCTTTGACTTTAATTTTCAATGAATGGCTCGATGTGGTCTCCACCATGATCAACCACTGCTCTCATTCTGCCTCTTCACTTGGAAATGGCCTTGGCAATGGAGCTTTGTGAAAATTCATCCCAAGCCATGCGAATACGTTCCTTCAAGTGTTCGACGCCTCGGATTCTAACCCCCCGGTACAATTTCGGCTCCAAAGCTGACCACACAATGTAGTCGACTGGGTTGAGGTCAGGACTGCAGGGTGGCCATGAGCCTGGTTCAATGAAATCAGGGCAGTCGTTCCTCAGGAAAGTGATGGTGTGTTGAGCTGTATGGGCTGGCGCCCCATCTTGCATAAACACGTAGCCATTGGGGCTTTGTCCTCGATCTCTGCCAGCATGGGTATCAGGACATCACTGCAATAATTTTCAGCAATGAGTTTAACTCCTCTAAGAATGAATAGAATGGAAGCTTTGTTATGAGATGAGGCTCCAAGTGTGACCATGACTGACTCAGTAAAGTGTTTTCTCTTACGTAAAAGCCTAGCTGGTCGCTAACCGCATCACTCGCTTCTTCTTCACAGCTTCCGAAAGTTCGGAAACTGGTACCCGTTTGAAGACTTTGAGTCTAAGATCTTGCTTGATGATATGCTGCACAGAAGAACGCGAAATTCTAATCTCCTTCGCAGCTTTACGCTCGCTTTTGCTGGTGCCTGGTCTGCCTTCTTGGTTCGAGATGAGGTCACTAACAGCTCGAATGTTCACCTCAGTTCTTACACTTTTTGGGAGGCCACTACCTGGAACACGTTTTCCACTCCCGGTATGTGAGAGTTTTCTCACATACCGGGGGGTTTTCACATTTCGCCTCTTCCGGTTTCGATTTGGATATTCACGCATAATTTTGTCTAAGGAATATCCTTTTTCTTCGCGAAGAGCACGAATAATGCTTTTATTCTCCTCCGTTAAAATGTGGTAAACACTCAATTTCACTGTCCTGAAAGGGTAACTCGATAAATTAATTTCATACACGAAGCGGTGTTGTGTGGATGAAAGGAAAACCAGTAATGTCGAGCCGTTCGCCTGTGAGGCGCTATCGACCGGTCAGGAATCAACTTGGGAGGTCCGAAGAATCACCTCTTTCCCTATGCTGGTCTCATGCTTGATGGAGTGTGAAACACCGGTTGAAATGAAATTAAAAAAACTTAGCGAGTATGCTATGAAATGGAGGGAAAAAAGGCGACGCCAATGCCGAATGCCAAACTAGCACTTACAAATGTATGCGCGCAACTTTTTTTGGTGGTATGTCTTTTAAAAATGGTCATGGCAGCCATGGTATTGTCATAAAACCATATACCATCCGATATGAAATTAATTGAACTTTCGTTTGCTTTTTGTTTCAAGTCGCTAGCATGAATAGTTTTCGAGAAAATGCAATTTGAAAATAGGTGCACTTTTTTGGGCCTCCCTGTATATCCTTGGCATATATTTTTGTCATATCTCTAAGGAGGGGGAAGGGAGGGGCGTTTCCTTGTCAAAGTGTGGTGCAGCAAATTCCTGGTCATCCAGAACATGTCGAGTCCCTCTTCCATTGAAATTAATTAATTCTGCAGATGATTTTCATAAGCTTCCTCCAGTGAAATTTTACTAAATCGACGAATACAGAAATCTCCTTAATAACATTTGGAAGTTCACTAAAATTCCCTATAAAGGAAAACTGTCCATTTCAAAAGTGTGGCTTTAAATATGTCTAATATCTAATGCATGCAGGGTGGTCATAAAGTCTCGAATTTTTCCTTGAAAGACTCAAAAATCTGACAAAAGATGCATAATGTGCACTTCCCATTGTCAATAATGAACTCAAACAGGTGAAAACAAGTAAAAAAAAACAGGTAATTTTTTTTAAATTGAAGTGCCACATGACCACCTTCCAAATCTATATATCACTGCAATCTATGTTTTGCCTGAACATTCGGGATGTTCGATCTCAGGTATTATGGCTTCAACAGCATCATAGATACGATCTCTTTAATATTCAACCTTAAGAATTTATTTGCTATATGCCTTTGACTTAACCCTTCCCCGCCCCCCCCCCCATACCCCCATGCAAAAAAAGTCCAAAGTGTTGCCGAAATTTCATTTCGCGAGCATTTCGCAAGATTATCTAAGGAGAGGTTCCCGAACAGTTGCATTGGTCGAGGGTCAAACGGAATGTTCAAGATAACCTGACCTAACCCGCTGGGATTTTTCATGCATGGGAGTACTTAATGTCAATAGTTTACAGCACAAACGTCCCGAAAGTTAAAGATTTAATAGATCGTATCTATTCTGCTCTTAACACAGTAACTCCTGACATACTTACCATCCTGAATGTTCAAGAATACAACAGATCAATTGCAGTTTCGTATCAATTTGGAAGGTGGTCATGTGGAACTAAAGTATAAAATATGTTAATAACTGATTTTAAATTTACTGTCTCCAGTTTTATTTAGTTCACAAATAACAATGTGAAATGCACATCATTCATCTTTGTAAGAATTTGGGGCATTTAAATAAAATAGATTAGGCAATAAAATAGATGTTGCAGGAAATTTCCCGGAATCAGACGAAGAGAATGAAAATTGTTGGCGATGCTAAAGGAGATAACTCGATCTCTATTCACCGTCTTCCTGTGGCTGTTGAAGGCATCACAACAGTTCTTCCCTCCCTTAAGAAGAGTTCATAGCACTGACCAAACACGTTCATGAGGAAGGCGAGAAGGAGCTGGTATGCCTCAAATCTGTATTGTTACCCCTGCCTGGCATGTCCAGCTAAATTGCAGTGCTGCAACTGAGAGATATATCAAAGGCAGATAAGCACCCTGTCACATCTCTAGTACTTAACTGACGCAATCATGTCAAATTTCCATGACTATTCAGGACAGCCGAATAAATATAACTTTTGATTTTCGGACTACGTAATGTCTATGGCCTTTTTAACTATTCCCCTTTGGAGTTATATTCATGCTAGACACGGGCATAGTAAACCTGATCACATTCCATGAAATAAGGCATGTGGACAAGGACATTCGTTGTCGAGGAAATTCTTGTCCAATTCTCTCATAAGAAACAAAAGCAAAAAAATATGGAGAGGGGAGGAGCGGAATACCTTATAGGGAGATGGTGAATTCTTCCAAAGTAAGTCGGAGCTTATTCCACTCCTTCCAGTTGTACTTTTGCATTTCCCATGTGTCACTATGGGGAAATACTCGGGGTATGTGTAACCGACATGCAGGGTGCTAAGAAAGTTGTGTCCCATCGCAATATGCCTGTAACCCCAGAAAAAAGATTTCTAATCAGGAAAACATTTTCATCCACAATAATGGCACTTAACTGATTTAGAATCACTTAATAGTTCTCAATATAGCCGCCCTTGGCACGAATGACAAGGTTCAGACGACCCAAGAAAGCATCAACTGATTTTCGTAAGTCTTCCTGTGGAATTTGCTCCCATTCTCAGTTCAGGGATAGCTTGAGAGAATCCAAAGAACGATGCTTTGCTCTAATAGTGTAGTAATAATTTGCGTTCAAAATTCTGCAATATTTACCATTTTGGAAATTGCATAACTCAGTTTTTAATAAAGGCTGAAGAGAATGCATTTAATAATCCGATTCTTCATGGTCTCAGCTTTACTCAGAGTCCAAAAGCACGTTTTTAGCTTGACTAGGACCGGCGCTTTAACCCTAAAGGCCACTTTTTCTCTTGGGGGCGTAGTTTGGGGCCGCATATCTCGATATCCGTTAGAACCAGAGAACCAACATCTTGGATTTTTCATAAGTCTTGATTGCCAGCATGCACTAATTTTTTCAAGCAAATCGGAGCCTGAAGCCCAACGAAAGTGACTAAAATTTGACCATTTGAGCTGGAACGCCTCCCCGTAATTGAAGAATGTCTACAGAAGTATTGGCGAATAGTGACCGCATTTCCGGCAAAAAGATATCCGTTTTCATCCATGAGGAATAGGTTGTGTTAGGAGACACGCGGTTTCGGCAATGAAATATCATTTTAGGCGTCCCGAAGGGAACATTCTTCTATTATAACTATGTTTAACTGAATGTGGAAGGCGCGAACGGAATCTGAAAATTCTTTGCGGAATCTGGAATGCATTGCCACGTGACCTTTCCTGGCTAAAATTCGCTATCGACGAGCAAAAATTGAATAAAATGATTGCGAATGAATGCTCACAGATTGCTCATCCGCAGAATGGGAATTCGGTTAGAAGGGCTGCGGATTGGCAAAATTCCACCCATTTCAGTGAAAAGCGAAAAAACTGCTCCCTAATTTGGAAATATGTCACTTCGACTTTAAACCCGTTATTACCCATTCCTAGTGCGAGAGCAACTCCTAACACATGTTTGCAAATCGAAATAGGTTAACGATTTCACAGGTGCTTCATTTTTGTAGCTCGATCCTGCTGAAAAGTGTGCCCGAATGCCGAATATCGTCATGTGTGCCGAAACCCAATTTCCTCGATGAATTTCAATCGCCGACCGTCTGTTTTATGTTTCCGAAATGGCGAAATGTCGAGAGAAATGCTGAAATTCGGATGTAAGATGACGGGAATATTTGCCCAAGGGCAAAGCCTGCCGAGCATCATTCTCCGTGTTCCGGAAATTCATACTAAACGCAGATATCCAAATTCGCAGCGTTATTCCTTTTACATTGAGAAACAAAGGGGAAAATGTGCCAAAATGCATAAAAATCCTCATTAAGGGGGTTACTGAAGGTTTTAAACTCCTTGACTGGCGGATTAATCACGCAAAGTGCAAGATTTCTGAAGTTGTGCAGCGAATTCCTGTCATTTCGCAGGTCTCATTATTGATCCGACTGAATAGCTTCCATCGGTGGCTTCTCCTATCGGATGTTGGTAAACTCGATTTTCAGCTAGAATTTTTTGCCGCCACTCCTCAAACGCCACGCCACAAACGAATTAAGAGGAGGGAAACCGAAATGCAGATACAGAATGCCGAAAATGCTGGTTCCTTTCGGAATGTTAGCCAAAAATCATCTCATGCGCGCCGAAAATTCGGCTAAAACGTGGATTGTACCATGCATTGCGCCCATATGTGAAGGGAGGGTGGATCTTTAGGGAGGGGGGGGGGGTGATCTTAATGCACTTCCAGCTCTCTGGAAAATAGTTAATGCAAGTTGAATATCATTTTGAGAGGCTCAATCAGGATTTTGGTACAAGATTTAAGGAGGTAGGAACTTAGTCCATCTGGGCTTGTGGGGGCGTGTGGACTTGGTTTCAGGCGCTTTAGGAGAGAGAGTACTTCATGGTCTGAGAGGGGAGAGTGGTCTTCATGTGAGGTGAGGTATGTTGAGCGGGTTGACGGAATAAGCAATTTCCTTGCAGCACAAACTTTCAAAGCTCTTTCAAACATATGTCTCCCACGGAAAAATACTGTAGTTAGAATATGCTTGGAAAGTGTTCAATCCATGTAATGTCAATGGATGTACACGCGATGTGTACGTTCAGGCCTTCCATATGGTCTGACATCTAGCAGTTTGTTCAATAAATGTAAAGTTCACACAATATAATCAAAGTCGCGCTCATCCCGCCAATTTTTTTCTCCCTATTCCCCAAAAGCTAATGATTGGTTCTGCAGACGTTTTCACCCTCAACTCGCTAATTTCCCAGGTACGAACCGAGGGAATGAAGTCGTTGTAAGCGATGCAGATGTTTAGAGACGTAACCTAGCTAAAGGGGATTCCAGGTAAATCTTGCTCAATGCATTGAGGGAGTGAGGTTCCCCTTGTGAGGTGAGTCACAAAAACACTTGTGAAAGTTTCGATGTTGAGTAACTCTGCCTAAATCTTCCATTAATAATGCATGCAGGGGCCATCTGTTGTATATTGCAAATTAAGAACCGAATAATGCACAACCGAATAAGGCACTTGTATCTAATATACGAGGGTAAGTCAAAAAGTATCCGCAATGTATTTATTAAAATTAACACAACAACAATACAGAACTCACAAGTGTATCATTTTTAACATAGTCCCCCTGCTTTTCAACACACTTGGTCCAGCGTCGCACAAGCTTTTGTATGCCTTCAGAAAAAAATGTTTTCGGGCGGGCGGCAAGCCACGTATGCACCGACTCCTTCAACTCATGGTCGCTGGCAAAACGACGACCTCTTAAAGCATCTTTGAGGGGTCCAAACAGATGATAATCCGATGGAGCAAGATCAGGGCTGTATGGTGGATGTTCTAAGATCTCAAAGCGTAACTGCTGGAGAGTTTCAATAGTGTATGCAGCAGTATGGCGACGGGCATTGTCATGCAACAACACAACACCTCGTGACAGTAGTCTTCGGCGTTTACTCCGAATCGCTGGCTTCAGCTTGTCACTCAGCATCTCGCTGTAACGTGCACTGTTTATCGTCACACCCCTTTCCTGATAATGCTCAAGGATTGGTCCCTGCGAATCCCAGAAAACTGTAGCATAACTTTTCCCACTGTAGGCTGAGATTTGAACTTTTTTTTAACAGGGGACGTCGGGTGTTTCCATTCCATACTCTGCCGTTTGCTCTCAGGCTCATGGTGGTGGATCCACGTTTCATCACCAGTGACAATGCGACTCAAAAAGGCGTCACCTTCCTCGTGATACCGGTTCAAAAGGTGGTTACAGATGTCCAAACGGTTACGTCTGTGCTGTTCCGTGAGTTGTTTGGGAACCCACCTTGCACAAACTTTACTAAAGCGAAGTTTGTGGTGGATGATTTCATAGGCAGAACCGTGACTGATCTGCAGTTGGTTTGCCACTTCATTGACAGTCACCCTCCTGTTGTCGAGAATCAGCGCGCGGACTTCCTCAATGTTCCCTTCAGTAGTCGATGTGGATGGGCGCCCTGATCGTTCTTCGTCAGTAACACTTGTTCGGCCATTTTTGAACATGTCAATCCATTCGTACACGCTTCGCTGCGGCAAAACACTGTCACCGTACTGTGCTGATAGCCTCCGATGAATTTCCGCACCTCTTACACCTTCAGCCCACAAAAATCGAATCACTGCACGCTGCTCTTCTTTGGTGCATGTGGTAGGCGGAGCGGCCATGTTGACCCCACTAGTGGTGAGAGACATCTGAACGGTTAAGGCCAAATATGTCACTACAATATAGGGAGGTTCCGTGCTTACGGTGGCGCGCGAATTCAGCAGTGGGGCCAATCGCAAAAAAAAGATATGACCACTTTGCGGATACTTTTTGACTTACCCTCGTATATCTGTGAACAGACCTTCTCCATCGTGTCTTAATCATATTTCCATCATGTCCCCGATAAACAAGGTCTGTTTAAAAAAAAATGTGAAGGGCTTCCGCCCCCTTTATTAATTTAAACTTATATATTATCGGTTCATAATCGAGCGGCCTTCGAGAAAGAAGTTACTGTCCATGCGGCCCGTAAGCTCAAAAAGTTTGAGCACCTCTCTTCTAGGGTAAGGGTACAATGTTTGGACCTGGGCGCCAATAGAAAATTTCTACCCATATTGACGTACAGTAGATGGATAATTACGTTTTCTGAATCCATAATATTAGCTTTAAAAATTGCCTTGCAGAAGTGGCGACCTCGAGTCATGGATAAGATTTCTTTCCTCACGCTTTACAAGTCAGTAATATCTGTCTTTGAGGGAAGAAAACTGGGAGGAGGAAATGTGAAGTTCCCTATGGAACATACGAACGAACATTCATACGTGTATTGTAGGTAAGAAAATCGGGACAATATTGTACTTTGATATCAATATAATGGGAGACTGGTATATGAATAAGCTTCCATTTGATGGCTGCCCATGGGCCATAAAGAATGACCTTCCCGTCTCAATGTCTCAATAGTCAATATTCATTCAAAGGAAATCCCTGGCTTTCCAATTCCTCGCTCCCAAAGTCATCCCGAAGTGCTCCTCTAACACTTCAGGCGCCCGATCCCTCATGCCCGCGCGCACTCTCAGCGAACTGAAATTAAATTTTGCTTTTTTTTTCCTGCCGTGATATCACGTCATCCCTTTCCAAGAAAACTGGCAGAAAATGCCTCAGCATTGATATCATCCATAGTATCGAAGTCTCATTTGATAGAGGAGCCGTTTCAACACTTTGCCACATGACCCGCCGGCGGGTCGTATGTCGAATACGCTCATAGGTTCTGTATTTAAGTGACCGCAGTCTACGGCTTTCGCGCTCGTATTGTCTAAGATCCCTTGACACGTTGCAAAAATGTTATGACATCCTCTGTGCAGTTTGAGCATGAACATAATTTCAGTGAAGAGGTGAATGAAATTGGACAAGCAGTTTAGCCAGTAAGTCATTTGGCCTCAGGGGAACGACAATTCCCCGAACTAAAAATTGGGCTAGGCAGTCAGAGTTGAGAACAGGATTTCCGCGTCTCATATGAGGCGGGAGATGCCTTAAGGGTTTAAGATAAAT